TCATAATGTAATCGGAGATGAAGAAAAAAGAAACTCGAATGTAATCTCCACTCTTTTAATTTCTAGAGAGAGAAAAAAATCAACCACAGAGATGGCTTCACAGGCGCAGGCCCAGACGTGTGCGTCGAAGCTAATCCCGTGCGCTCAGTACGTCAACGCCACCACAGGGGAATAAATCGTATAAAGAAAAATTGTGTTCCAATCACTCTCCATTGGTTTCTCCCTCCAACGACGCACCGGTGCTCCACCAATATCACCACCATGTAATTAATCTAGTATCCTCAACATCGATCTAGTCTTCAGGTTCGATTTTCTTCTTTTATTGCATTTGATCTTTTTCAGGTGTTGATTTCAATATAAATATTGAATCGATTTGGAAGATCTATATGAATCCTCCACCGACGATACACTCATTGACTCCATCGTTATTGAATTTGAGTTCAATGAAATCTAAATGATGATCGAATGAAACTCCATCATCGCTCTTAATCTATCGATCCAAATTTGTACGATTATTGAAACCAATTATTAGTGAATTAGCTAAAGTTGTCATAACCGCATATGTTGATGTGAAGTTTGAGAGTGTAACAGGCTAACAGTGAACGGTTTCTTTGATGACCACATATAGTTCTTCTTAATTTGAAGCATATCTTCAAAAGTTGTTCGTGTTCATTGAGATTGTGCTCTGAATCTAATCTTGACACATACCTGAGTGTGAGTGTTGTGGTCTGTGCTATTCTTGTGCTTGGTATTAGTTGGTAGGAAGATGTTAACAACACCTCAACATGATTAGTACTACCACCCAAACCCATGGATATGAATGTAGACCTCCTATCAAAACCCATCTTTGAATCTTTCATAATATATAGCCCCACCCCACCCCACCCCACCTCACCTCACCTCACCTCACCTGTTATATACAGTCAAAAGGGTACACTTGAATCAGACTCGAGAGATGAGCTGAAAAGAAAAATCCAAGAAAACATAGGGGTAGTTATGGGATTTTAGATGGGGATGTGAACAGTAGGTTAAGGGTGGTGGAAGTCATGTAAATGTGCATGAAAGAAAGCTTGTTGACTGCTGATATTGAAGCCTGCTACAAGTGATTTTATTGTAAGGGATACTGGAAATTGCAGCCCTAGGTACATGAGGTGCACCATTAATCAGGTGATACATGTTGCCTTAATGTCTTTCATTTTCATCTACTTTTCTTGTGAAATGTTTTAATGTAAGATTGATTTTGTTGTTGTTTTTTTAGATTCCTTGCACTTCAGATCTTTTAAACACATCTGGCATGCAATTGGCTTTATTGGTTCAGCCATTTGATTTATATGTATTAATTAATTAATACATATAAATTAAAATATCACGTCTTCATTTGATTTCTATACATCAAAAAACAGTATTCACAACTTATAAATCATGAGCCAAAACACCTAAATCAACTAACAATTAAAATTCTTAGTTTTGGACCCAAAACAGCCACTGTTTAAAGCTGTTTTAGCACACTTGAAACCTATATAACTTCCGTTTTTATTTTATATTATAGAATTTCAGACTTTTATATTTTCAGAATGTACTTTTGAAGGTCCAAACGATTTTTCTACAATTTTATATGATTTTTACAAAACTGCCTATCAATGCAGCTAAATTCTGACCAGCTGGTGAAAAATGTGATTTTCACCTAAGTTAGAAGCAACAACAGGTTATGGAAAAATTAATGGATAAACTATATTCAAAGTGGAAACTTTGAAAGTTTACAGATCATTAATTCGATTCCTAGTGATTTTTCTATAATTTTTCCAATACAGGGACAGATTTGTAATTTTTGCTGAATTTTTCAGCTTTGGATTTCAAAGGCTTTTTGACCACTTAACATATTAAGCCATCACTAAGAACACCCATAAGGGTAAAAAATTAGCCTCTTAACAGACGTGGCATGTCAAACAATAAAAATATCAATCCCACTCACAACCCACTCATCAAGGTACAAAATATTTGGTGGAAAACAAAGTAGGTTGCACAAATAGGAGCTTGGATTTCTTCCACCACCAATTCTCATAGAAGAACTTTGAAAGATTGTTTTGAGGCTTATTGGGTGACTCAAAACATGATTTAATCTAAACAAACAACAACAAAATCATCAGCACTCTTGTATTTATTTCTTTTCTTTCTCTATCTCTATTGTTGGTTTGTGAGTATGCATAAAGCAATTTTTCTGACTCCTTGGACATGCTTGAGGATAAAAGTTTAAAAATAGAAGATGATTCTGACTTTCCATCATGGTCAGGTGATGAACGTGGTGTCAGGGTTCTTATGAATGTTGATAGCTTTGGTGCTGTTGGAGATGGAGTTTCTGATGACACAAAGGTGAATATACATATATAGTATTTCTTGAGTGTATTGATGGAGTCATTAAGGGGATTCTTTTTATTTTCATGTATGTTACATAACAGGCCTTTGGAGATGCATGGAAGGAAGCATGTTTTACAGATTGCATTCACGGGAAGCAGTGCAATATATAATGATATATGCATGAGAACTCAACTGTAAAAATGGAAGAACAAGACTCGGAAGAAGAACAAGGATCTCCATGTGGATATGATTCAAAGTGTCATCCAACAACTCTTCTATCAGGTCAATCATAATTGATAATGGTTCATGTTTGAATTTTCTTGAATTTTTGTATTTGTCTGAATCATGGTGTGACGGTTATAAGTAAATCACATGTAATTCATATGTGAATTACATGTGATTCACATGTAAATCACAAGTAAATTACATATGAATTACATGTGATTCACATGTAATTCACACATGATTCATACGTAAATCACATGTAATTCACATATGAATTACGTGTGATTCACATGCAAATCACAAGTGATTCACATATGAATTACATATAATTCACATATGAATTACATGTAATTCACTTGTGATTCACATGTAAATCACAAGTGAATCACATATGAGTTACATGTGATTCACATGTAAATCACTAGTGAATCACATGTGATTTACATGTATATAATATCGAATTCACATATGAATTGCATGTCATTCACATGTAAATCACATGTAATTCATATATGATTCACATATAAATTACATGTAATTCACATATTAATTACATGTAATTCACATGTAAATCACAAGTGAATCACATATCAATTACATGTGATTCATATGTAAATCACTAGTGAATCACATATGAATTACGTCAATATGCACACATGCATTTTGTGTGAATGGTCTTTGTTAATTATTTTTTTTTAATTTTCTTGTGAATTTCACATTTGAATTTTAAAAGATACAATCACATGTGAATATCACATTATATAATCACATTTGAATCTTACATGATATAATCACATGTGAATCTTACATGATATATACTTATGCATTTTTCTGAGTGTTCTTGCATTAATCAAAAAAAAATTTAATTTTCTTGTAGGTTTTTGAAGAATTTGTTGAAAATATTGAAGAGGTGAAAAGTGATAAATTGAAGAAAAAATATGGAAATTTTGATATGAAGAAATGATAACACTATGAATCTTTGTAGTTTTTTTATATTTTATTTTGTATCGAATAAAATACTTGTATTATGTTTATAGATTGATTAATAAAAAAGAGATTTTTTATAATTTACTTACGAATATTATATTATAAGAAATATTCATATATTCATTTGAAAAAATATGCATATATGCACCTAAAACGTTGATTTTTTTGTTAAAAAAATGCAGCTTTGAAAAAAAATGTATAAAAAAGCGCAGTTTTTTTTTTTTTTTTGAAAAAATGCAGTTTTCTGAAAAAAAAAGATGCAGCTTTTTTAAAAATATTTTTTTTCATTTTTTTTTGAAAAATTCATGTGTTTTAAAAAAAATTAAAAAATCTTCATTTTTTAAAAAAAATCGAATTTTAAAAAAAAAAAAAAATCCGAAATTCTGAGTTATTTTGTTAATTTTTAGACATTTATATTAATATATTAAATAACACAAAAAAATTAAACATTAAATGAGATTGGTAAGATCACGATAATGTCCTTAACGAATTACTTTTGATCAAACGCTCCACTTTTAGTTCTCTAGTTCTCGGGAAACTTTGAGTTCTCAACCGAATCTGCAACCCTATATATATATATATATATATATATATATATATATATATATATATATATATATATATATATATTATGGAAAGCATAATTTTATTGTCTGCTTACCAAAAAAACATACCAAAAAAACATGAAGACCTTGATAGTATCTTAACAAAAACTGTATATGAAAATTAGCTCAAAATTTTGATGTCATAGATATATTTTGATATATTGAGGAATGAGGAAGCATAATTTTAAACGTGTACGTTACAAACCAATTGGTGATCTAGATTCTAATCATTCCCAAAAAAAAATGGCATCAAATTTCTATACTAGACCCAGCTTAGGTACACCTAAGTTGGTCACCACCTTCCTTTTGATATAGAACCATCGCAATCTCTTAAGTAGTAGATTATAGATAGATTAATTATTCATCATCACGGACAAATATGTAAATTGACTTGGACAAAATATATCTAATTATTTCGAGATAATGAGTACCATTTTTAGTTGTGAAATAAATCCTTTAACCCTATATTACTATATATGTATATGCCATTTATGTGTGGAAAACTATAACGTTTGATATAATAAAGATTTTAGTAATATATTTGCTCATTCGTTAAACATCTACAATGACGGAAAAAATTATGAAGCAGGCAATGTTGTTGGTATATTTTGCTCAATTCAACCTCTAAATTTTTTGGTACGTACGTTTTCAGAACATCCCATGAATTGTTGTAACATTTTAATTTTAGAAAGGTTTTGTATATCTGATTAGATATAAGTATATATCATTCAACTTGAAATTTCATAAAAGCAGATGCAACTATTAGATTGTTTAGGAAAAAGTTGGTCACCAAAATCTCCTATAAATGCGTTTCTTGATTTCAATTAAGAAAGCATTCGAAACCAAAACACACTTTGGCAACCATTATTGAAGCTATGTCATTGTCACAAAAAGGGACTACCATGGGTCTAATCTTGATCCTAGTGTTCATGTTATCCGGTGAGACCATGGCTCAATCCGGCTGCACCACTGCACTTATTGGCTTAGCCCCATGCCTAACCTTTGTATCAGGAAATGCATCGATTCCATCCGCTTCATGTTGCTCACAGCTATCTAATGTAGTTCAGGGTCAACCACAATGTTTGTGCTCGCTACTAAATGGCGGTGGGCCTAATCTTGGGATATCGATAAACCAAACACTGGCTCTATCGCTTCCCAGTGCTTGTAATGTACAAACTCTCCCGGTTAGCAAGTGCAATGGTAATGTTTAATTTCTTAATTTCATTTAGTTGATTTAAACATTTATATAATGGATAATAAACTAAAGGGTTTATAGCTTAGTGGTATCGTCTTGCTGGAGACAAAAAGTATAGATTTAGAAGTAGGATAATGAGTGCATGTGTTAGCCGTTCTAAAAAAATAGGTCATGTCATGCATGTAACATCAAAATTGCTAATAATTGCATATGAAACTAGTCCACCATCGTAACTACAAAGAAAATTGATTTCCTTGCTGAAAGCAAATTGAGCGATTGTTTTGCGTTAAACATGTTTAATGAATTAAATATTTAACTTGAACAACTATGTTTAAGGATTAAGCCAAAAAATTGATTAATGTATTAAGACACTAACCTTTTTGCTAATTTTATAACTTCCCATTAATCATTCACTAACAATTATGTCTATTTGCCTTGCTTGTCTTTCTTTTCAACTTCTCTCACGATCAAATCAATTAGTTTTATGAAATTTGTTGTTAGGGTAAAATAGTTATTTATTCTCATTCAAATGATCTATTAGGTCTAGAAAGAAACATACTACATCATTTTCTGATTTTGTTCCTGTAGATCCATTCAACAAATAAAAATTAATGGAATAAACAAAAAATTATAGACTCCAACACAAACGGTAATGGGTTATCTATATCTTATTATTTGTATGTATAGGTGTTGCTAATGGACCTACATCGTCAGTGGCTGATTCTCCAACAAGTAAATCTCCATCAGATTCTTCTTCTAATGAAACACGTGTTGGTGCTCCAACTAGTACTTCTACACCAACGATTCCTGATGTTGGTGTTCCAACTACTACAACTACACCAACGAGTCCTGATGTTTCTTCAGGTATGAAATGCTTGAAATAACTTAGTTTTCCAATCAATTTCTTATAAAATGTGTCTAAAATGTGATTGATGGAGAAACGATGTGCAGGGGGTTCGAAATCAGTCCCTTCAACAAACAATGATGGATCAGATGCAACAATCATTAGGGAGCCTACTCGTGTGCTAGTGGTTGCTTTTTTGGTAGCAACGTGTGCATCTATTGTGACAAAATTTTGAACTGCTTCCGCTGGAATTATTATGATCTATTGTATCAAAACACTTTAACTTTGACTTATAGAAAAAGTCTTTGTAAGCAATATTTTATATGTAGTTTTGTTAAAAGTATGTTCATGTTATATTGTATTCTAATTAGAGAATATATATATATCTATTTACATGTCGATTGATGATGTTTTCTTATGCATGGTTGACAAAATTCAAAACAAATCCTATATATAGAAAGGTTGTTAAGACAATATGACATCAGACTTACATATTGTTTCTTGTTTGTTTTCTATAAAATAAACCATTTAAACGAGACTAAATAACCATTTGTCTTTACATTTTAAAAAAATTCAAAATATACACCAATTTTAACATAAAGAAGAAAAAAAAAGAAGGAATGGTCAAATGAATAAAGGGTTGTGTCTTAATAAATTAAGTCAGTTTTTTTGCTTAACCTGTTAAGTCATTACGTCCATGTTAAGTGGTTGTCTCTTTTTTCTTATTAAGCCTTGTATGACTAAATGGTTGAATGATTAGTGATGTTTGTTTATATAAAGTATTATATGTGTAATTCAATTTCTTTTCTATGTTGAATAAGTGGTTTGAATGCCACTAAGGTATTTTTTTTCTAAAAGCTCTTCATGATGCGGACCGACATACATTTTCTCTATAGATTGTTTGTTTTTTAGAATACTACAAACATAAAAAAAAATTGTGCATCATTTTCTCCTATAAGATATGACACATGCTCTTCTAAAACTCGTTTGCGTTTGGGTTCTTATTTGAGTGATCTTTTATCTATTGAATATTATTACATAATTTGACGTTTTCATAAATTGCCATTTATTTAGATAAGACAATGTACTGGTTATCTACTTTATCCTTTAAAGAAATAAAAACATTGTAGTTAACATCACTAATACCTATAGTAATAAAGTATCAATATTCAAAATATAGTAGCATTAATAATAACAATTCAACTATTACCAGATAATATATTATTTTATTTTTACTCAAAATTACTAACACAAATATATAAAGATAATAATAATTGTATTAATATTAGTATAGAGTGTGATAAAATTTATTATTAACACTGTTAATGATAAAAAAATATATTTTATACTATTAATACAATTGTTAATAAATAATAGTAACTGAAAAATAATAACGATTAACTAAATGTATCATTTCAAAATAACCATGTGTTTGTTGATATCATAAAGAAAGGGTTAAAGTGCATTGTAGTACAACGGGCTGGGAATATATAGTTCATTTATGGAATAAAATTATTGAACAGTTAACTAAAAATATGGAATGAATGTTATTAAAAAAACTTTGTTATAGTGGATGTATGGATTATGTTTTAGTGTTGTAAAACTAGAATTATCTAAAGAGTCTTTTACATTGTCAAAGGATAAAAGATGAGATTTAACATAAAGTTAACTTAATTATCCATGTGGGAATAAAAATGTTAGAGAAAGGATGAGGGAAGGACTAAGAGTGGAAATATTAGTTTATAAATTAGTCACGAGGAGGATCAAATATGCAAAATGAAAATCTTGAGGGGTTGTTATGTAATACTCCTATTTATATAAGCTCGTATCTCTTCCTTCCTTTCCCAATTCAAACGATCATAGATGAGAGATTTGAGTAGTGATGGTGGAACAACCAGGTAGGATTATATTGGAGGTAGGGTCCGTTTGGTATACGAAGTATACTGTTTGGAAAGCCCACTTTAAAAACATCACTAAATCACAGCCTACACATCATCCCCATAAGTAGATCAATCAGTATAACGACTTTGATTCACTGATAAATCTTGTTTATAGGTTCATAATAACGATAATGAACTTAAACATAAGTTATACTTACAAGGGGGTTTAGCGAGGAACCGGGCTCTGCGCGGGCAGAACTTCTGAGCCAAAAGCTCTTCTTCTCAGGGCCTTCTGGCGCTCCGGGACTCGCTATTAACACTTAGGAAGTGCTAGGGAAAGGCTTAGAGGGTTTGGGGGTGTTTGGGAGAGAATGGGTGAGAAAGGTGTGAAGAATGAAGTGATTTGCGCCTTCTATTTTATAGGTTGTCTGATGGAAGAACGTTGGGCGTTCCCTAGCTGAACGTTGGGCGTTCGGTGGCCACGTGTCACCATCTGGTGGCAAGGTGTGGAGAGGAAGCAGTGGCTCAGATCGCGCCATGTGTCACTCGTTGATTACTCCAAAAACTAATTATCTTCTAAAATTCGTAACTTTCTCATACGAGCTCCGTTTTTGACGTTCTTTATATCCACGCATAGGTATCCACGTAATCTACAACTTTCCTTTTGATTCCATCGGCTAATTCTCGACTGATTTTGAAATTTAACAGTCTGAGAAGATTATACTGATAACGACCGTGTAAAATTCATAACTTCTACATGCGGACTCCGTTTTCGACTGTCTTTATATCGTTGAGCTCATATTAATGAGATCTTAAATTCTCATTTCTGTTGTGTTGGCTAAAAGTCGATCGATCTAAAATTTTATTTCTGAGTTGTGCACTGCTATGTTAAATCTTACAAAAATCATAACTTCCTCAAACGAAGTCAGATTTGGGCGTTCTTTTTATGTACGTTCTCGGTTTAACATATACTAAGACTTTCATTTAGATTGCTAAGGCTAAAAGTATCTTATCAAAAATTCACTTTTTATGATACGCGGCGTCGTGCCGGTTTTGTCGCAAAACTTCGACGGGTCATAACTTCTTCGTTATAAGTCGGTTTTCAGCGTTCTTTATATGTACAAAATACTTGTGACATATACTATACCTTTGGTTAAGATTATTTATGTAAAATAATCTTCTATCAAAAAGTCATTTTTAACGCTTATTATCTCTAAATTGACTAGTCTGAATCTGCGGGCGTTACAATTATCTCCCCCTTAGGATGATTACGTCCCAGAATCATCAACGAAACAAGGCTTGTATAATGACTCCATAAGTTATCTTTTCATCCTAGGTAATAACCGTAACTCTTATGTCCTTTCAAATGAGTATCTAACTCTTGGATTTCTTGACTGCTGACGGTGCTCAATCTTGCACCTGCTCTTCATACTATGTTAGTCTTTCAATCGTAACCTTCGAGTTACAAACTTGATCCTTATTGGAGACTCCTGCTCCTTCTCAAACAAACTTAAGATAAGTTCTTTACTTCGATTATCATAACAGACCGATGGGTCATGTCCTAATGACCTCCCATCGTATGATGTGATGCTTAGACTCGGGTCTTTTAGAGTCAAATTCTAGAACGGAAGACACCTTCCTTCATGTTCTAATGTAATATAATCACATTCTAGCATGTATCACTTCTAGCTACAAGCTTCTTACTTTAATGACGATCGCGGTACTTCTATTGATCGCCTCGATTATCTTTCACTTCAATCTTCTGGCTTAAGTCAGATGCTACATCGAACTTGGTTCTCTGAACCACATACTCATCTTATCCGGACTCGATTTGATATGATTATTAGGTTTGGAATAATAATCATCTTCTTAGTCATTACTGAAACGATGGTAACAACAGACATGAACAAAACATAATCAATTACTAGCGCCTTGGTAACCTTGTGACCTTCCTGATCCAAGTGCGAGTCATGTGCTTCCAGTAGTATAGGCCTCTACTACCATTCACACCTACTCATATTCGTCCCAAGTATTGTCTCGTAGTTCTCTAAGTCACCATACAAGAATTTCACATAGTCATTTAACACATCAGATAACATAACTAAGGTTTATATTATTTCTTGAAACGATTATATAGACGTTCAAGTTCACCCTACACTATGTCTCTTATAATAGGCTACACCACATGATACTATCTACATGGCTACTTTATATCTTGATCTTCAGATATATAGATCCTTACTTCTAATCCCTCGCATCCTCGCCTGCTTCATTAAAGATCATTTGGAATGCTCTTGCCTTTGGCTTTGACGGTGCATTTGGTCTTGCTGATTCATTTTTCTTCGGGCAATCTTTTGACATATGCTCCTTGTCTCCACATCCTTAGCATACCTTATCATTAAACGTACAATCCTTGGAATAGTGACCGATCCTCCCACACTTATAACAAGTCACTTCTCCGTCTCATCTCCCATAATGATTTTTCTTGCACTTTTCACAAAACTTGGCTTCATACTTTGGTCATCCATGTTAGACTTCGAGAATTTTCCTTTCTTATTAGATCTTAAGGATCCCTCAATATTTCTCTTTTCTCCTGCCTTTATCCTTTTCCAGACCCTTTTCTCTTATCTGGGTCTCTATATTCTTAGCTGCCCAGATGGCAGCTGTCACACCCTCAAAACCAAATGAACGGCGGAAACGT